TATTGAGTGCCTTCTTTCTTCAGGCGTTACTCTAGAGGCTGAGGGGATAGTAAAGAATAAAATAGATGTGATCTCTTTCCTCATGGAACTTATAGTCTGTATCTCTTCTATGCCCATTTGAGGAAGACTGGGGTGGTGTGGGGCTCTAGTAGGGATGGGATGAGAAAGTGAAGGAGGGGCAGGTGCAATTGATGAAGGAGGTCAAGAGAGAAGGGAGGTGAAGAGAGAAGGTGAAGACAGGCTGTGAGCTGTAAAACTCAGTGGGTCTGGTTGAAGAAGATGCAGTGATGTCCTGACTCCTGTTTACTATTAGTGTGACCTTGCCCAAGTCTGTCTTCTCTATGAGAAGCCTCAGTTTCTTCATCTACAAAGTGGGAATAACAAATCCAAATGCTTAGTGAACTTACTAAAGTCAGTGATATTGATTCATTCACTCATTGAGCCCTTTAGACAGGACCACAGTGTTGCAAGTGTTCCTAGGAGGGTCCTAGGAACCTCAAAGTCCACCTACAGTCCACCACCTCATCTCCACCTTCTCTGCCAACCCCTCAGAGGCAGATGCCAACTCGTGGGCCCCAAGCAGCTGAGGGAAGTGTGAAGCTAGTTTGCAGCTTTATTTTTAGAGCCGCCCCTGGAAGATGGCTCTGGTTGCCTCTCCATGGGGAGCTGGAGTCAGGCTATATTTAGGAGGCACAGCTGCAGTGCTCTATCCCTCCTGCGTCTCTGGGTTTTAGTTATCATGATGTTCGAGGGCACACATCACTCTGCCTAAGCTGTCTTTGTTGTCTATGGGTCCCCGGGAGTGGCAGGTCCTCCTGACTCAACCTGTATCTCCAGCTCTCCCAGCTGGCGGTGGCAGCAGGGGACAGTCTTCCTCCCTCTGATTCCAGTGGTTTCTGCCTCATCACCACCCACAGATGGGATGTGGCTCCCCTCAGTGCCCTGTGTGTAGCCATAGTAACTATGATGATCCATTTTTGATCAGTGTTTACATTTGCTAAGTGCTTCCACAGCTGTCACCCAGGGTGTTCTCCAGGTGGGTGTGGGGTGTGGCATCATTGTCACCATCCCTTCTGCTGAGTCACAAGCTCCTTTAGGGCAGGGCTCATGACTCATCATTTTGATATTCCTCATGTGCATATTCACCTAGTATAGGCTGCATGAACACACAGCAGGGGCCTAAGAGGTTCTGACTGAATTGAATTCCAATCAAATTCTGCAACTGGACATACTTCACAAATCAACTAGATCCTTGAATGCATAGCCGGGCTCTGCCATTTGCTAGCTGGCTCATAACAAACATCAGGCCTCAGTTTGTTCAACTTGTAATGTAGGAATAATCATAGGAATTATATCTCATAGGAGTTAAAAATCAGAGGAGTACTCATAATGTAGGTATTGTCTATCCCGTGAGGTTGTTGTGAGGATCAAAAGCACTAATGCAAATAAAGACCATGTGTGTGAGATTCTTGTTCTTTTCTCAGCAATCTTGTCCAATTCTGTTGGCAGGACCAGGGATCTACTGACATGTTACATCAGCCAACACTACGAAGAATAAATGAATGGATATTCATTAAGCATCTGTTATGTGACATTCTTTCATTCATTCTCTCATTCTTTTATCCATTCAGAGTTGATATGACTCACCTGGGGGCATCAGAAAAGGGTGGGAGTTCTCCCACATCTTCCCTGTCTCATGTCAAGTCTGTCCTCTGACTGTAGAAAGGGGGACTTCTCTGCTTTACTAATAGAGAGGTCAGTCATTTCCCTTCAGCCTCTTTTTATTGTGAACTTGATGAATGTGACCTCCAGATGGACCAGGAAGTAAGAGGAATAAAAACATATGAAAAAATCCCTCAAAGGACTGATGGGTAGTGAATATGCCCCTGTCTCCACCTGTCCCATAGTCCACCAGGACTGTGGGCTGAGGACTGGGCACTAGACCAGAGGGAGGGCTTTGGTAGCCTGGAAGGAGGGTCTGCCATGGGTGGCTGCCATCTGAGGCAGGGAGATGGCCAGTGTGTGTTGGGAGCCTTTGGTTCTTCCAGTGGGAAGACACCTGCAACTGGCAGGGGTAGTGGGATCTGGAGGCAGGGGTCTGGCCACGGCAGCCCATTGCAGTGGCGGGTGTCGTCACTAGGTGATGTGGTTGGGCTAGAAGCAGAGAATGCCCAGGTGGCATGCAGCTGGGGACCAGTCTTGTCAGCCCCATGGCAGTAGGGGTTGGGGTTGCTCTGAAGCTGGGAGTGGCTGGATTGGTTTAGTTTGTAAGTGGCACCAAATAGACAATTTTTTGCCACAGACAAGGGTTTTGTTGACCTTTCATCAAGGGCTGGTGACATTGGCCCTGTGACTGGGGACACTGATACCCTGTTGGCTTTCTTACAGAGAATAATTTTTTGGGGGACCGTCTGGCTTTGCTCTACGGAGATAAGGGAGTGACTTAGTTGACTCTGTAGATTGGAGAGCAGGAGTGGGGAGTGTCCTTGCATGTGGCAGAGACCAGGGTGATCACATCACTGATAGACTATTTGCTTCTCCAGAGCCATGTGACTACTCTGGCCATGGGCTGTCAACTGAAGTTGGGGGAATCCCTTCTGGGGTGAACATGGAAGATCTTACAGATGTCCCTCCTGCTGCTGCAGTGAGGGAGGAGGCTAAGATGTTTAGGTGGTTCAGCTCTAACCTGGAGGAGACTGCTGGCTTTGATTCCAGAGTCACTGTGTGGAGCAGAGTTCTCCTGAGACTTAAGTTCATTCTTTGCTGTTGTTCAGTTGCTAAGTTGTGTCAGACTGTTTGCAACCCCATTGTCTTCAACATGCCAGGCTCCCCTGTCCTTTACTATCTCCCAAGTTTGCTCAGATTCATGTCCATAGAGTCAATCATGTGCTCTAACCATTACATCCTTTGCCTTGTCATTTTGCCTTCAGTCTTTCCCAGCATTAGGGTCTTTTCCAATGAGTCTAGGAATAGCAGCAGCGAACCTTTGTTTTGTTGAGCCACAGCAACTTTGGTGTTGTTTCTGCAGCAAAGTGAACACTCAGGATGATTGAATGTTGGTGGCAATGATGTGGGAGGATACTGATGTTTCCTAGACTCAACCAAATATTTTTGGTCAAGTACCATTTATATTGTATTCTAGGGATAAACTCCTGCCCTAGAGCTCAGCTGCCTTACCAATCCTCTTGACCTCACTCCACAGACAGGGAAATCGGAGCCCAGAGAGGTGACAAGCATGAGTCCATATGACTGGTTTAGAGGCAGAGTCATACGTTACAAGTTCTGCCTTAATGTGTTGTCTGTAAATGGATGTATTTTTGCAAAGAGAACTTCATTTGCCCGTTGGCTTTATTCAGTCCTCTCAGAGGTGCTTCATCATCATTTTGATTAGACTTAAGTGAAGTTTACAGAACTACAGCCAATGGAAGCTTTCTTACCCTTGTAGTCAAGCAGTTAATGTTAATGAACGAACCCTCAGATATGGTGGGAGAACCCACTCTGAAGGGGAACCTGGGATGACTCCTAAAGTGAAATAAGAACTCTTTGAGAAAGTGAATAACTGCTTTCTTACTGATGTTTGCAAACAAGAATTTTTGTATATTGGAGATAAAAAAAAAATAGTGATGCCCCATCTACTTGTGTGTACATATGCATGTTTGTAAGTTTGTGTGTGCTGACTCCAAGGGAAGAGAATGAACTTGCAGAGGATACGTTCTTAATCAATACATACCCAGTGAATTGCGCTTTTTAATTAGGGGTGGCTCAGTGGTAAAGAATCTGCCTGTCAATGTAGGAGATGCAGGAGACTCTGTTTGATCCATGGGTCAGCTAGATCCTTTGGAGGAGGAAATGGTAACCCACTGCAGCATTCTTGCCTGGAGAATTCCATGGATAGAGGAGCCTGGTGGGCTATAGTCCATAAGGTTATGAGAGACAGACATGGCTGAGTGACTGAGCATGAACACACACACAATAATTTTGTGAGAATGAAGAAAGTAGTCAAAAAAGCAGGAGTTTGTCTTTGAAAATGGAAAAATTTTAGTATTATGGAGGTCTTGAATTTTCCTCGATCCCAGGCCCCTAAATTCAGATTGTATCAAGAATGAATGTTCAGTTTTTTAAAAAATTGAAGTATAGTTGATTTACAAATTATATTAGCTTTAGGTGTACAAAAAAGGAATGAATGTTCATTCATTTAAGGAACAGTTATTGTGCACCTACTGTATCCCAAGTCCTATGTTACTGGCATTGGGGCCTCTGAGGCAAGGCCCTGACAACGACCTATAGGAGCTTGGAGCTTCCGGTGGGGAGAGAAGATCAGAATGTGTTAAGTGCTTTATGAGTGTATTCTCCAAGGGGAGGAAAATTTCCCCACCTGAGGCTAGCAATCTGAGAGCCTCATGCAGGAGGAAGCATTCAAATTGACTCAGAGCAGAAAGAACAGGTAGAATTTTGATAGAAAGTGCAGGGTAGGGGAGGCTGTTCTTAACAAAGACACTAGCTAGGGCTCAGGCATGAGTGTAGGGGTGAAACTAGACTAATGGACTTCCACAAGGAGAGTGAAATAAAAAAAAACAATCGCAGGTTAACCTCTAATTAACCGGAAAATGCCAGTAACTGGAACCACTTATAGAAGGTTGTTCCATTAATTAAGATTTTCCTGCGTGTGTGTGTACCATGTGTGTGACCGCAGAGTCACAGATACACACACACACACCTGTGCAGTCCCAGACTCCCCTAAGCACCTTCCTTATGCAGCCAGAGGGTGGTGATCTTTGCACCCCTTCAAGGTCAGGGCCAGTCGGGGGTAGGGGTGCTGCCTATCAGCCAGAAAGACACATTCTCGGCACGCCGCTGCAGCCCCATGGAGGCCCCATTCCGAGAGGATTGGAAATGTAATCACAACAGTTTTTATTAGCAAAAGAACAGCAGGAGCCCTTCTGCTGTCCATATGGACAGATCCCGATGGGTATTCATGAAGCAGTTTGCTGCGGGAATAGCCGTGCTTAAAACTCCTCGTCCAATTACCTTTGAACTTGCCTTTTTTGCTGCAGTGGCTGTTGCTGCTGCATGTGAAACATCTCCTACACTTGTTTCTCTCCAGGAGGGATGGGGCTGTCTTACCCTGTTTGGTGTTCCTTTGCCCGGAGACTGGTGGGCCAGAGAAGACCTAGGAGTCTGGGACCTGGTCACCTCTCCTGGATGTCCTGGAGGTTGGTTTGGTCGCATCTGTCCTGTGTTATACTGTCCAGTTGATTGGAGCCAACAGTAGCTTTTGGAGAAGCCCCTCAGGCCTGTTGGAACCTGGGACAAAGAGTGCTTTTGCAGAGATACCTGGAGAGGGGTAAAGAGCTGCCAACCCAAACGTCGCTTCCTGGCCTCCTCCACATGCTCCTGGGTAGAGTACAGTGGACACAGTGACCATATAGTCTAGGTGTGGGGACATTTCTAGTTCCAAACGCCCTTCTCATTGTCACTAGTCGTGTGCATCACATGACAGGTCCAGATTCTGGGAGAAGAGGACAGGCATGTATAAATCTGAAATAGGGTCATCATTAAAGCAGAAAGAAGCCCATGCTTTCTGAAAGATGTAGGTGCCAGAGCTTGGACTTCATTGTCTGGAAGAGGAAAAGGAGGAGGATTCAGCAGCTGGAAGTCAACACATGCTTCTGAGTTTGCGGAGATCCATAACAGAAGGAGAGCCCAGCAAGGCAAACACAATGTTATGGGTTGATGCCTTGTGGGCTGGGTGGGGCTGCCCTGGACCTTTGAGTCTGGGAGAAGTCAGAGCCCACATCTGTTGTTCTGCCCGCTGCACCGACCATCTTCTGGCCATGGTCCCTCCACTTTCCTTCAGGGCTCTTTCATGCTTCTTTTCCCTGGCAAGGTGGTTTAACTGAATTGGTTCTCATCCAGTGACGCAGGAGTGAAATGGAACTTCAGAACTGATCCAGTAGTGTCACATGGATAGGTTCTAGAATGATCCTACTGCTTGTGAGCCTATGAACTTTAGCCCACCAGGCTCCTCTGTCCATAGAATTCTCCAGGCAAGAATACTGGGGTGGGTAGCCATTTCCTTTTCCATGGGATCTTCTTGACCCAGGGATCAAACCCAGATCTCCTGCATTGCAGGCAGAGTCTTTACCGTCTAAACCACCAGGGAAGCAGAAAGATCCTACTTGAGTCAATAAGAATCAAACTTGAAATTTTTGCTGGAACTCTTTAAGAGAGGTTTTTGAGCAGGGGAAATTAACCCTGGAGGTGGGGGTGGCCACACAGCTGCCATCTGGAAAGAACCTGCTGAGAATGACTCCCCTGGTGCATAAAGCTACAGCATCTCTGCCCGCCCAATGCCCTGAATCCTCTTTTGTGCTTAAGCCAGTTTAAGAGGCCTCCAGGGTGAAGGCTCTGCCAGATTACCCTCTTCCCCAAGATACTGGCACCCCTGCGTCTTTCCTTTCTGTTTTCAAATCTGTCATGGAAGGCATCCCCTCTCTGGTCAGGGTGTGGCCTCCCAAGTTGTCTAGAGGAGAGTCAGTCATCTTCCCTGCATGCATGTCACATATGGCTATATCAGATGGTCCTGAGTACAGTCCTGGCTCATAGTATCAGCTTATTAAATCATGCTAATCTGACTGTACACATCTATGAGGCTTTCCCATTCCTCATCCCTAAAGGCAGAATCATCTTGGGGTTCAGTCTAGAGTGTGGGCCTTGGAATCGGATAGACCTGGATTCTTGTTTTCTGATTCTGCTACTTGCAAGCAATGACTGAGGCAAGTTATTCAACCTCTCCAGGTCTCGATTCATTTGGAAAATGGGTGTAATTATACTCCTCACTTACTGGATGCTTTAAGGACTGAATGAAAAGATTATGGAGTACAAAGTTTAGCACAGAGCATAGCTTATCCTATGTAGTAGCTATTATTATTTCTAGAGAACTCCCCAAACTGCCTTTAAAGCTACTGAAGCAATGCCCAGCAATTGTTATTCCTTTGGATTTCCCAGTGTACACACCCATTTACTTTTCTTTCTATCGTTTCCCCTTCGTGTCTAGTGAGAGAGGCTCACTTTTTTCTGTTCTGAACTCCATGGTTGCCCAGATGTAGAAGCTGACAGCCTGGGGGCTCCTCAGGGCCAGAAACCGCACCAAAACAACCAGCAAAGACCAGAGCAGAAGAGAGTACGTTTTAATGGAGGAACAAGAAGCAATGCCCTGTGCCCAGAGGGAGGGGACAGGCTATGGAGAGCGCTTGTGTCCATGACCCTTGACCCTGGGATGCTTTGTTCGAAGCACAAAACCACCCTTGTTCTGTCTTGGAGACTGGGAGAGCATTCCTTCAATGCAGTCAGTCTTCCTGAGTTCTTGCTTTGTTCGGAGCTGTGGCACCAACTCCACCTCAGTCTCTTTCTTATTTGTTTTCTTGTCAAATGGTTCAAGGACAAGGAGGAGGTGGGCAGTAGCATAGAAACTGTAGAAACTGGCAAGCTGATTCTTCAATTCATATGGAAATGAAAAGGACTTAGAATAACCAAAACAATTTTGAAAATGAATGAAGTTGGAGGACTAACACTGCCTGATTTTAAGGTGTATTATTAAGCTGTAGTAATCACGACAGTGTGCTATTGGCATCAAGACTGACAAATAGATCAATGGAATGGAATTGGAAGTGCATAAATAGTCCTACATATATGTGGACAACTGATTTGTGACAAAAGTGCAAAGACAATTCACTCAGAGAAAGAATAGTCTTTTTCTTTTTTAAACAAGTGGTGCTGGCACAATTGGATGTGCTGTGCTCAATCACTCAGTCATATCTGACTCTTTGCGACCCCATGGACTATAGCCCGCCAGACTGCTCTGTCCATGGGGATTCTCCAGGCAAGAATACTGGAGTGGGTTGCCATGTCCTCCTTCAGGGGATTTCCCAACCCAGGAATCAAACCTGTGTCTCTTGCATTGCAGGTGGATTCTTGACCAGCTGAGCTACCAGGAAGGCCCGGTACAATTGGATATCCATAAAAAAATGAACTTTGACCCATAACTTGCACCACGTACAAAAATGGATGATAAATATAAAACCTAAAACTATAGGCTTTCTAGAAGAAAACAGAAGTTTTTGTAACCTTTGTTTAGGCAGAGTGCTTGAATATTACACTGAAAGCACAGTTCATGAAAGAAAAATAATAATAAATTGTACTTAATCAAAATTAAAAACTTCTGCTCTTTGAGTGATACTGTCAAGAGAGTTAAAAAAGCAAGTCACAGACAGAGAAAATAAGTGCAAATAATATATCTTATGAAGGACTTGTGTCTGTAACATACAAAGAAATTTCAATAATAGTAAGACAAACCAATTAAAAATAGATGAAAGATTTAGGTAGACATCTCACTGAATAAGATATGCAAATGAGTAATAAGCACATGAAAAGATGCTCAACATCATTGGTCATTAGGAAATGCAAATTAAAACCACAATGAAGTATTATTATACACCTTTTAGAGTAGCTAAAATGAATAAGATTGACCACACCAAGTGTTGGTGATGTGAGGGACCTGAAACTCTCATATGCTGCTGGTGGGAAGTAAAATGCTACAACGTTTTGGAAAACAGCTTGATGGTTTCATATAAAGTTAAATGGACACTTACTATGTGGTCCAGTCAGCCCACAGCTAGCTATTTACCCAAGAGAAAAGAAGGCATGTGTCCACACAAAGACTTGTATACAATTGTTTATAGCAGTTTTGTTTGTAATAGTCCCTGTCTGAAAACAAGCCAGTATCCTTTAGCAGATGAGCAGGTGTATCATGATGGGTGTATCCATACAAAGGAATACTACTCAGTAATAAAAGGGAATGAACTATTTAAAAATGTATATTTATTAATTTGACTGCTCTAAGTCTTAGTTGTGGTACGTGGGATCTAGATCTCTGACCAGGGATCAAGCTCAGGCCCCCTGCATTAGTAGTACAGAGTCTTAGCCACTGGACTGTCAAGGAAGTCCCAGGAACAAATTATTGATACATGCTGTGACGTGGATGAATTTCAAAATAGTTAGGCTGAGTGGAAGAAGTCAGGAAAAAAGTGTAATACTATATGATTTCATTTAAATAAAATTCTAAAAATGAAAATGAATTGATAGAGAAAGCAGATTGGTAGTGCAGGGGGATGAGGACAGGGGCAGGCGGAGAGGCAGAAGGAAATTTCTGGAGGGGATGGATATGTTCATTATCTGAATTTCAGTGATCATTTCCTGGTGTCTACACATGTCAAAACTGATTAGAATTTAATTATGTGCAGTTTATTGTATGTCAATATATGGTCCACAGTGTTGCAAAGAGTTGGATACGACTGAAGCAACTTAGTGTGTGCCCACACACACATCTTAATAATGCTGTTCTAAAAAGAAAGGGAAGACTTCCCTGATGGTACAGTGGTTCAGAATCCACCTGCCAAAGTAGGGGACATGGGTTTGATCTCTGGTATAGGAGGATTCCACATGCATTGGGAACAACTAAGCTTGTGGGCCACAGTAGTCCACACACTAGAGCCAGCTAGGGTAGCTGCAGCTACCAAGCCCACAAGCTGCTACCCCTGAGGCCCACACACCTAGAGCCTGAGCTCTGCAACAGGAGATGTCACTGCAATGAGAAGCCCACAAACGGCAACCAGAGAGTAGCCCCTGCTCTCCGCAACTAGAGAAAGTATGCATGCAGCAACAAAGACCCAGAACAATAAAAAAAAAAAAGAAAGGGAGAATAGAACTCTACCAGCATTCCCTAGACCAGGTAAGGCAGCCTGAGAAAGCTGCTGTCCTGTCCGGGCAACAGGGGAGAGATAGACAGGGATACTAGTTCCAATGTCTCCCTATTTTGCTTTTGCCTACTTTTCCTTCACTGTCCCCTAGGTCAGGTCATGCCTTCCCAATCCACTTCACGTATTTAGACTGTATTTGTCCTTCTACATCTAGAGGAGAAATTGTCTCCTCCATGAAGCCTTCCAGGACCACAGCAAACTTGGGTTTTTTTTCATCTTGTATACTCACGCAGCATCTATTTTATATGTTACCACTCAGATCATTGATTATGTTTCTTGTGATGAGAAAACAAATGAGAAGGGTTCAGTCCAGCATCAGTACCTGCCCTCTCAGGCTCTGTTCATACTTCAAAAGGCTTCTACCACTCTGGTCCTGGCAGTTCTTCTACCTCCTC